ATAAGGTCCATTCTATTAAGACCACCTAACCTGGCCAGCCACTGGTGGGTTTACCTGTGCAACCCATGCTGTATCAACATAGCAGTTCAAAGGGAGGACCCGTCAAAATCAGGAGGACCTTGGGCAGGTCCCAGGTAGGATAGTGTTGAATTATGGGTGGCCGCAGATTTGAAGCCTCACAAAAAATGACGAATCAGGGCATGTTGTGAGAGAGAGTTACAATCCCTGCAAATCAAGACGGACAAGAGCACCACCACTTGGCATCGCAGGGCATTAGGCAAAATGATCAAGCCGTTCAAGCCGTTCTGTAGGAAGGCCAGCAAATGATATAATTGTGCCTGGGTCACAGCCACGAAGGTGCCGGAACACCATAAGACAAACGCCTTCCAGGTTGCGTTGTAAATACAGGTAGTGAATGGTCGATGAGACGCTTGGATCGTGGCCACCACTTGAGGAGATAATTGTCCCACAATCAGAATGTGCCGCTCAATTGCCAGGGGGTTAGCTTGATCCAGCCTAGATCCGGATGTAGAAGAGAGCCTTGCCCAAGAACATCCGGCGACAGCGGCAGGTGCCAAGGTGGGACCACAGATATTGCCTTCAAGTCCGCAAACCAGGGATGGTGCAGGCAAGCAGGATGAGCTACATCTCCTCCTCCAGCAGCTTCTGACCACCCACAGAATGAGGGGAATGGGGGAAAACACATAGAGAAGGCCGGCGGGCCACCGACAGGATCCCCTGGCCTGATAGCGCTGGCCTCCCTTATTGGACTTGTCCTGCTGATACTGCTGTCCCTGAGAAGGACTGAACTGACGCTGGAAGCAAGGGGAGGAAAAGCCTCCCTCTCTGCCACGAAAGGGTGACCTCCTGAAGAGGAATATTTTCCGATTTCTTAAACTGGGAAGGCAAAATCTTCTTTTTGTCTTTGGATTCCTCTAACATTGGCTCCAGGGGCGGACCAAAAGCTGCTGACCTGAGTAGGGGGCTGATGCGAGATTCCACTTATGTTTGGCATCGGCCTGCCACTGACTCAACCACAGGAATCGTCTGGTGGCAATGGAGGCGGACATGGACTTGGATTCGAAATGGGTGGTGTTAAGTGAGGCGTCCACCGCAAACTCCATAGCAGCCTTTATTTTGTTAATATCCTGGTGCCCCCTAACATCACTAGCAGGAATCCTATCCTGTAATCTTTTGAGCCATTTGAGGGCCGCTCTACCAAAAAAGGAAGAAGCGGTAGAGGTTTTGATGGCCCAAGCAGCCAACTGGTGACCTTTAACCAGTGCCTGCTCCGCCCGCTTATCTTCGGGCGGAGGGAATCCTCTGGACTACTAGTGACCACTGGTGGAGCTGAAATAGCCACAATCGGTGCATCCACCATGGGGACCTCCAGTGCCTCCAATTCTGGCCCAACATCATAAAAATGTTTATCATTAGAGTTGGGAAAGGCGCCTGATCCCGGTGAAGCCCACTGCCACTGAACCATGTCCAGAAACAGCTTAGGGGCCAGTACCACTTCCTTTTTTTTTCCAATTTTTTTTATTTTTTGAATAAAAACAAATAAAATCATTCTCCATTACAAATTGTAGAAAGTGTGTCAATTGGTTACAAACAGCTTTGGTGCATCCCTTCCACAGTTATCACCTCTGATTCATATCAAATTATCTATTTTACATCACATATATTTATATAT